ATATTGACAGATTAATATTAAGAATATAAAAATCTTTACCAAAATTTATTAGGAAAATCAATAAAAAACAAACTCAAAATACAGACAGTTCCTAAATGGGAAAATACTTTCAGCTAATAGATTTATGAAAATATTTTCACAAGGAATCTAGAAAATACAAAAATAAATCATCTTTACCAACTTACATGTGGGCTCATAGCCTCTCCATATTTATTACGGTTCGATGTTGAAAATTTTGCAAATCAAATCCATCTACATGTGCCATTGCAAAATCTTCCACATCTAATGGTAATAAACATTGGAGAGGATGTGAACACAGCATGTAAATTGGTAAAGCCAGGTGGGAAAGCACTTTTATTACGTCGCCTAATATTGAATGTTCACCATCATCTAGAACCCAGTCATTCTTTTGCATATGTATACAATGAGGCGTGTATACGAATAAGCACAGCAATACTTTCCTAACAGGAAACATTAAGAAACAACCTGCTGCCCGTCAAGAGACGATAGTGACTAGTACAGAACAATAAAAATGGATGCACTCCAGTGATATGCAAAATGTGGGTGAATCTTATTGGTTATATTAAATGAAAGAGTAAAATAAAACCAAACCAAGGCCATTGCCACTGAATCGAATCCAACGGCACAGACCCCGTGTGTTCCCCAGGGGAGCCGTTCCACAGCATTTTCTTGTGTGTACTGTGTGTGAGAGCACATGAGAGGCCAGTCTGATGTGGCACTACTGGGTGGGTTTGAACCGCCAACCACTAGATTAGTTGTTGAGAATAAACCATTTGCACCACATGGGTATTGAGTGGGAAAATAACCTCAAATCAAATATTAATCTTTAAGAATATGTAGTAAAACTACTTTAAAAGGAAAATAAAAACTTAGTAATGTACAGGAAAGATTCAGGATGATAGCTGCTCTCAGATAAGGGGAAACTGGGGAGTCGTGTGGTTTGATGTAGCATACTGCTGAGGTTTTGCTTGCCTTTCAGGAGTGGTACTGTGAGTGACTGTCACATTATAAATAATGACTAAATAAATTAATGAATAAAAATAGGGCATGTCCAGACCAATAAACAGAGTTTGCCACAGGTTAAAGATCATTTTTTCGAATGCTATATAGCAGAGATTTAACAGAAAAGTAAAAACCAAAACAAATTAACTAGCTTCATATCTGACACAAGATTCTCGAGAGCATTAAAAAGATTTAAAAGCATTCAACCTGAAAAAGGACACAGAACAGTGCCGAGAGGCTTCCAGGAGGTAGAACTGTTTTAGATTTGTACATAACTGAAGGCATGAGCCTCTATTGTTTGAGAAGCACAAGCTGACAGACATGCCAAGAGAACCGAATACAAGCACTATCAGAACACAAGGTTTTTAATATAATATTCTAAGTAGTTAGCAGATTGTTGTTATTCCAGGTGAAAAGCCACATGTTATATCATTTCATTTACATGAAATGTTCAGGAACATTCCGGTACCCCACTTGGATGGATATTAGTCGATATGTGTTTTCCAGGGACATAGGCAGAGAGACAAATGGAGAATGAGGGCTAATGAATGTGGAGCTTCTTTTTGCAGTGATGAAAAATGTCCTGAAATTATAGTGGTGATGATTGTACAACTCTGAGTGTACTAAAATTCACTCCATGGAATACTTTAAAAGGGAGGACACTTTGTGGTACAAAAATATCTCAATAAATCCCTTCGTTAAAAAGAAAGTTTAAATATTCCTATAGTCATGAGACAAATTAAATCAGAATTTTATATATATATATATATATAATATCCACACACTCCTCTCTCTAGCTCTTCCTGTCTCTCACACACAAAGACCAGATAGTTTGCAGCACCTAGTAAACTGTCAGAGAATTAGAATTCTTCAAACTCTTCCAAGAATTAAAGAAAGAGGAAGCAACCCTTAATATAAGGAGTTTAACTGTTACCACAAGCAAACAAGAATAGGACAAGAAGTGAAAAGCTGCGTCAACCTTAATGTAAAACTCCTAAGTCAAACAGCTAAGGAACGACACACAGCCTGAAGGAATGTACCATCATCAAATTTGCTTCTTCCAGGAAGGACAAGCTCAATTTAATATTAAAACAAAAATCTTTCTAGAAAAACCAAACAAACAAGCTCACTGCCATCAGGTCAATGCTGTGAGTTTCCCAGACTGTCACTCTCACTGGGCGTAGAGAGCTCCATCTTCCTCCCCTCTCTAGAACAAGCAATAACGTGAGAAACACCGTGACCACTCTAACGGCCGTTAATCACAGTAGTAACATAAATAATAATCCGACACTACTTCACGACAAAACAAATAACAACCCTTAAGCAAGGAATC